TGGTAGAAAAAAATTAAAAAAAAACATGGTACTCCTCTATGCAGTAAGCAACTTTTCCGCGCTATTACATTTCGAATAAAAAATTCTTCATGTTTCATGTCTATAATTCCTTTTACAGTTATATATATATTGTATATATATATATATATATATATATTATATATATATATATAAATTATTTATAAATATGTGGAGTGACTTTTGAGTGACATCCACATCATGCTTGTGTAACAAGTACTTTAAATTTCTACATTTAATGCTGTAATTGTAAATGCTGAAGATAATTCCATTTGATTGAGATTAAAACAATGACTGGTTTATTAATTTGTTTAATATTAAACAATAACCATTTTAGCATAATCATATGCGAAGATCCTCAAGTATCATGTTTAATGTAAATCACTGCGACTTACACACATTTCACTTGCATACATCTGTAAACAAAAATATTGTGTAAAAAAACTGCTGTTGGATTTTAAGGAGAATAATAGTATATTACTCTATGGGGCGGAGAAGCATGACTTTTCTTGACGTGCCCGATATTCGCCGAACGAAGTGAGGCGCGTAATATAGGGCAAGTCAAGAAAAGTCGCTTCTTTGCCGAATAAAGTATACTATTTTTTCTTCAAACGTAGCAATTTTCAACCATAAATAGTACAATTCATACGCTATTTTTACTCGAAATTAACTGTGACAACTATCAAAGTCGTTGTTAGAAATTAAAATAATTAAGATGTTAGAAATTAAAATAATTAAGTCGTCGGTGGGATTTGCGTCTCCCTGGTTACAGTTGTTTGACAGTTGTTTGCAATTATTAAAGACAGCTTATTGTTGTTCGCAATCGGCCAACATCGGGAATGATTGCTGAAAGTTGTTCTTGGCCATCAGTATCATCAACAATTGCCAATGCGTATCAAGAGTCGGGAACATTTTTGCACGGTTTCCATGACAACATATGCATATTGTTGCCATGACAACATTTTTCCCTCCGCCGTAAAGAAATGGAAAAAAAACTGCTGCCGGCGGAGACATCAAACTTTGACAGGATCAAGTTAGTTAAGTAATGTCATCATTATTTGACGTTTGAAGAAAAACTATAATTTTTTAATAAAAGTTCATTTCCTTTTCCATATTTCCGTATTCAAAGTCTTTTCTATTTTCTATCGATTGCTGTCTTCGTTTTCTCTTGTTGCTGATTTTTTTATTAAACTGATTATTATTTTATATATTTTTTCTTCGCCTATATAGCCACAATTTATAACAGGGGTTTTCAAGATAACCACGTATATGATTTTGTCTATAGTCATTGTTATTCTCATCTTTTTGTCCATGTTTCTGTCATGATTGCGGTATCGTCTGCAAATCTTATATTATTAATGATGCTTCCTCCAATCCTTACACCATCAGTTCTTTACCATAGAGCCTCTTGGAATATTAGTTAATAATACACATTAAATAATTGTGGCGACAGCACACGTCCCTGCCTGACTCCTTTTTAAATGTCTACTTATTTATGTACTACTACCTTCCACCAGTATGACCTGAAAAAAAAAGAAGTCGAAAAAGAGGATAAATGATTCTAGCTAACAATGTAACCGACTTAATAGGCATATAAGTAGTGAGAACTACACAAAACATCCAAAAAAAATGGGTAAAAAATAGCGATAATGTTTGAAGCAATATTTTTGTCTCAGATTGTATTACATTCAATGATCAACTTTTTAATATTAGAATTAATTACTGTATTAGAAATGTCAAGGTACGACATAAAAGTGCCTTATAAATTACGCTCGCACTTTCTGACTAGAAAATTGATGAAGCGTTATCCTTGAAATTTTAACAAAGACACTGACAAGGGCACTTGGGGGAGGAATTTTTGAAATAAAACTAGGACACATAACTAAAAACTTATAAATAAATTATTAAATTTTCCTTAAAATGTTAAGGCTGTGTTAATTTTAGCACTAGTTTAAGTGTTTGTTTTTTTCGATTTATGTAAGTAAATTATACTAGATACTACTGCTAAGTATGGATCTTTTTTATTATTTTTAACTACAATTACCTTACTTATATTCCAATAATGTCTTTGTTTTTTAATTGGATATAAAAAAATATTTGGATATAAAATTGACCCTTGTTTATATTAAAAAAAAAATGACTTCAATAACTTGAAGACGCTTATTTTGTTATAACATAAATTTAACAAATAATTGAAATACTTATCACGCATAAAAAATAATTAAACTAAGAAACAGCCTCAAAAGCTGAGTTATTTTGTGACTAGACTAAACATTAACCTGTAACAAAAAAATGAGGAACAAAAAATTTTTTGTAAACGTAAACTTGAACAAAAAGAGAAATCATACGATTTCTATCTGGCGAAATCGAATTCAAATATAAGCCGCCGTGCCCCCTAAGACTTGCGAAGCAAACAGCTTGATGAATGCATCGGCAAGGGAGTCTAAAAATTGCACTCCAAATGGCCTATATTCGTAGTGAATTCAATTTCTGGTACTCCAAATGAAGTAAATAAACAAAACAAATGACGGTATTATATTTTGATTTGATACAGAGCAGCAACAAGCCGCATATACGTATTTCGATCTCTTTAGATCTCCTCAGTACGGTATAGTTACTACTCCATATCAAACCAAAATATTTGCCGTCGTAGATTATAGTTATTAAAAATAACTATTTACGGACGTAACTACGCCATCTAAGAACAAAAAGAGAAATCATACGATTTCTACCTGGTGAAATCGAATTCAAATATAAGCCGCCGTGCCCCCTAAGACTTGCGAAGCAAACAGCTTGATGAATGCATCGGCAAGGGAGTCTAAAAATTGCACTCCAAATGGCCTATATTCGTAGTGAATTCAATTTCTGGTACTCCAAATGAAGTAAATAAACAAAACAAATGACGGTATTATATTTTGATTTGATACAGAGCAGCAACAAGCCGCATATACGTATTTCGATCTCTTTAGATCTCATCAGTATGGTATAGTTACTACTCCATATCAAACCAAAATATTTTCTCGTCGTAGATTATAGTTAATAAAAATAACTATTTACGGACGTAACTACGCCATCTAAGAACAAAAAGAGAAATCATACGATTTCTACCTGGTGAAATCGAATTCAAATATAAGCCGCCGTGATCCCCTAAGACTTGCGAAGCAAACAGTGAATTCGTAAGTGAAACAGTATATTCGTAGTGAATTTGATTTCTGGTACTACGAATGGGCCGATGCATTCATCAAGCTGTTTGCTTCGCAAGTCTTAGGGGGCACGGCGCCTTTAAGTACAATGATGTACTTAAAGTACTGAAAGGAAGGGGATTGATAGATCACCTATATCTATATCATTAAAAGATGACCCCTTTGAAATTAAAATCCACCTATTTCCACCTTAATACTTTTACAAAATTATTGCTACATTGTTAAATATCAGGCACCTTAATACTTTTACAAAATTATTGCTACATTGTTAAATATCAGGGTGGTACTTTTAAGTGATGAACCCTGTATAAAACAACTTAAGACATGCAAAGTCTTATAAATTAGAGTATTAACTGGTTTTTCCAGCTTTCTATCGGTGTGGCACATACAAACGTATAAAATAATTAAAGTAATATATAGTAATATTAAGTATTAATTAACACTAGATATGGTTGAAGAACCAGCTATAATTAAAATTATGGATCATTTATTGGGATTTGCATTGAGCAATCTCAGTGTTGATCGAGAAAGTTGGGACTTAATGTACTGTTTATTCTCATTTATATTATTTTATTGAATATTAATACCATGCAAATTTGCGTCGTTTGGTAGACAACGATTATGACGATTCTTTCATACTTAAAATACATGATTACTCGTAAATATAAAGTACCTACACAATGCGTCTTTATGTCAATGTATATCTGTTTATTTATGTTTTAATATGACATTTAAAATAAAATATTACTTAGCTCTTCACTTTCTGCAAACACCTGTCCTTTTGTTTAGTCCTAGTATACTCAGGGTTCAGGGGTCAGGATATTTAAAGGGGTAGTGATGCCTATTAAATAGTCTCCTCTACTCAAATATCAACCTTATCTCTGGTGCTTATCTCATATTGAGTGATTCTGGTGAATTCCAAGTGATTTTCTATTTTTCATACAGTGAATTTCAATACAGTGTAATCAGGTATTCAGGCATGCATACGTCAAGATTGTACAATTCCAATGTTTCTTCAGGAAAACGAGACTTTGTGTCTTCTATTAAAGAGTCTAGAATGGGAAGGAACACTGATACTCTAAAGTAAGTCTCTGGGTCTTTAATTGCGTGGTTGGCTCGATTCTTCTGCACTTGTGATATTCTTGGAATACTAATATCAAAATTTGTCTTCTCGGCGATGTCCTTTGCTTCTTGGAACAAATCTTTAAAGCAAACAATCGCTGTGTTCCGTTGATTGGCAAGTGCTTTGGTCATATCCGTAAAATGTTTCAATGCACATTTCAAGTCAATATCAGGTTTTTGAAGTAGCTTGCTAAAAGGCAGTGTAAGTGAAAATATGTTGCACATACACACTACAGTGATAAGGAAAGTACTGTTCAGTAAGGCACAAATCAAGGTTCTCGCCTTGGATGCAGCTTTTAAATCTTGCTATGAAGCTACTGATTCCAGGGCTTGAATGATTTCAGGGAACTTAAGTCTGAATTGTAAAAACTATGTTTGCCTTTCCACCCAACGTGTTTTACACAATCCAGGTAGCTGGTCACCTACATAATGTTTCAAAACTTGATTTCTCTTTGAGAAAGACGTGAAGAACGAAACTGTTTGATGTATGGTACCCATTGCATTTCTAACAGCCTGAACTTGAGATGATTTGGACAGTGATATATTTAAACTGCGATTGAAACAAGGAGCTCTAACGGCAAATTTGGCTGCCTGTTTGATTTCTTGCACAGCTCCTTTAGATTCTGATATCATTACACTACAACCATCCGTGCATATTTAGACACACTTTTTTATGTCTAATGACAGCTCGTTCATTGTTTTTAGCACTAGTCTACCCAACGTTTCCCCTGATAAAACAATTTCCTCCACCATTGGGTCAATGTTTTTATTAATTTCTTCATATATCTCTGGTTCTTCATCTACGGCTTCTGTATTGCTTTCTTCTACTAGAGAAGCCCTTACATCAATAAATTTAACAAAATCTTCTCTTACTTTTCCTTTGTTCACATATCGCAGAGTCAATGCCATTTGAGATGTATGTGACATATCGGTTGTTTCGTCGAACATGATGCTGTAGTATGGTGCATCGTGAATTCTCCCCTTGATAACTTCTAGAATTTCTTGACCACAAAGAAAAATAAGATCATGTTGGGTTCTTTTACTGATGTACGTAGCTCTTGACGATGCTGTTCTTAGATGGTCTTCCAATTTTGTCCAATAATAGCAATGCATTAGTTTGATCTCACCCTTCTGATTAATATGTATATTAACTTCTCAATTTTTCAGAAAATTAAGGTTTCTGGGGGGGGGGGGGGGCGATCACCCCCATCGCCCCCCCCCCACTTGAGACCGCCACTGGTAAGAGAGTTGTTTCCTGGTCTTGAGTTCTTATAATCTTTGGCGTTTTGCAACGATTGTTTGTTTTGCCATTCAGAAACAGTTGGTGGGCTTTCTGATTTGGCGTTATTGCACATAGCTCTTTCATCTCTGTGGGATCACCAATAAGTTTTTTGATCATATTCCAAGCCTGCGTGCTACTGTACGTCATATTCATTTTACTTAGTCTCGCTCCACCATTGTTGTCTGGAGGTACTTAGTATTTGCTGCAGTCTCTCTCCTAGCTGTGCCGTAACTTCGCTAAATGGGTCTTTTCTATATTCTTCGGTGTACTTTATCATAATGTCTTTTGCTTCATCGTTCAGACCAGATATGTAATGTTGTTGACATCCTCTTTGTATGTGTTTACATGAGATTCGAAAAAAGAAGGAAAAAAAATATAATGGCATGTCTCGCAGAAAACAGAAAAATAACATAACAAACCAAAATAGGTGTATTGATGGAAGGCAACCGTATATACGTATTTCTGACTATTGGTCGTCTTCAGTACGGTGCAGCCAAGTTAGAAAAAAGACATATTAACTTGGGAAAGGATCACTACAAGAGCAATTTAACCAATTTGTGCCATTAAATTTTACTTTTATTATTCACTCGCATTAAGCTTTTCTGTGCGAGCATATTCTATTTTCTAACACCACTTCCTAGCTTTTTTATTTTTATTATTATTGCAATAAAAATATTACTAATTTATCCTTACCTACTCCTTATATGTTTTTGGTACATTTTTAAGTAGTTGAGTACTTCTAAAATTTTCTATTGCTAGTAGAATAGTAAAATACATATATTCACATCGTAGCTGACATACATATTACCGTTGATATAATTTGACTCAGCGGTAGATATAAAGGAAACGGGTCATTACCAGAAAAAAAGCGAATAAAATCATAACAGGATGGGAAAATACATTTCAACCTTAAGATTACGTTTATGGCGATTATGTTCTTAATTTAAAAATTTAAGGTTAGTTTCTAAAAAAATTGTTCCCAAAGAAAAACAAGTGCAATCTCTTTTCTAATAGCACATTAGATTAAGAAAATTTATCCATTAGATTCAGTAAATTGATTAGATCAGATTTTGATATAAATTACAAAAATAATGTTACCTACTCCTTGTATGCAAAAGTGTTTAAAACATTACGTTTGTAAATGGATGAGTTAAGTTTATCTCTATCTGTCAAATTAAAAAAAAAATATATTTTGAAAAATATAAAATTTTGATCCATGATATTTTATACAAATTTTCTTAAGCAATATTATATAAAGGGTGTTTTAACATAACACAGTTTCTGTTCACTTCCGGTATAATGTCTGTCAAAATATTTTCTTTAAGTTTGTCATAACTTGAAATTCTTATAATAGTTCAGTTAAATTGTATTTTTGCTTGGAAAGTTTTGGGGTAGTTCTGATTTGTTTCATTCCATATGTTTTTTTGCGGTGCTTAATTTCTTCTTTTTCGGGTTTTTTTGCTTAAAACTCGAAAACTATCAACTTTTGGTAAATGGTTTGTTTACAGAAATTAAAGTACTTGAAATTTTCTACAAATACCAGTATTTAGTTTTTTTTTCAGACGAATCGTTTCGGTTTCTAGTGCGAGTTGAAAATTGTAAATTTTTAGCATTTTATGCAAAACCCACTTTTTACATTTCAATATTTAATTGTTATGGATGCTGGCATTTGATAAATGTCAACTAGTTTTTCACACAAGTAATTAACAAAGAAAAAAGGGAAAAATTATGCAAATTCAGTAGGTAGGTAGAACTCGTAACAAAATAAAACTTAAAATCCCGTTACTTATGATCATATATTATTATGATTATAAATTATAATATGCAAAATTTATATGAGCGTTGTCTTTTGGAAGGCCTGGCTGAGGTTCTTCGATAACGATGAATCCTGGTTCTGCTTGTTCTGGAAAATAAAAGTTTAAAGTTAAGTCATTTATCAAGAAGAGATGAAGATTGCAAAATAAATTGTGAGATTAAACATACCTTCCGCATCGTAGTAAGGTTCTTCGATGGCATCGGATCCTGGCTCAGGGTCTGATTGCTCCATCGTCCGCGTCGGGAGTCGTTCTCCTGGAAAATAAAAAGAGGACATATCATATATTAAGGAGAGATGAATGACTAAAAATAACTTGTCCTATTCAACATACCTCTCCCTCTTTCTTCAGTTTCTTCTACGTCTATGTCAGAGCTGTCTTCTGGGACTCAACATTGTTACGCAGTCCTTCGCATGATGCGCATATTGGGGAACAATGGAGTCCCGCCTTCCTGCATCCACAATTGCGTTGACAGCCCTTTTTACATTTACATGAAATGTACCGGAGTATTGAGTTTGGTGCAGGGTCCAAAGTAGTTGGTACTGGCACAAGACCACTACTAGTTTTTTGCCATCCCCACTCACTTGGTTCTTTTTGTTGCTCGTTAGGTGTGGCTTGACCAGATAAACACTGCTGCACCTGATAGTAAACTCTCAGTTAATGTTCTCGTACAGCAGCTTCAGTTGGGGGCAATGAGGAAATGTTGGTCTTATTTTTTAATGATGAAGATACGTATTGTTTATATCTTAAATCGTTTAGTTTTGTCTGTTTTTGTTCCATATAGAGCCGTGAGAAAACATATTTCCTGCTGTGGCAATCTCATCTTGACTTGAATTAGGGTATTTGAAAGATTCAATTGCCGATTGCAAATCTTTGTTCTGCAAGACTTTAAGAAATTTCAGTTTCCCTTGATTAAACAATGCAGAAGTAGTATCACAACCACTGATCGCATACAGGAATAAAATATAATCCAATAGGATTTTCTCAGCAGCCAGATGAGGGTTGTAGAGGCTTTGCGAAACCTTTCTTTTTCCTAGCTTCAAAAAAAATACATTTTTTATATCAGGGCTACAAAGGCCAATCAAAATGACCAGTAGGTCGATATCCTCTCCCACCACTGTCACATGTTCATTTGACGGGGCCATCTCAAGAGCTGTTGAGATAATTAGGATATCAGCATCTTCCACAGCTTGCTTTGAATGAATTTTTGCATCATGAAGTTTCTCCATTAACATAGATTTAAATCGGCTGTTGTTTTTTGGGTTTGCAAGAAAACTATCCTGCGACACAGTGGGCACCATCATTTTTGTTAATGATATTGCAGTAGATTGTTTTCTTTGTGCTCTTCTCAATCGTTCTAAACGCTTGGTGCTACCACAAGCCTCGTCAGGGTAGCCATCAAAAACGACAATAGCACTTGATTTGTAGTTTGATTTGACATATGATACATAACTGCTGCATATGTCTGCATATGTTCTGACCTTGGCGCCATTTTACCCGTGTGTAACAAAAAAACCCCGTCGATGACATATTTTGTATCGTTAAACTCAGTCTGTTCAGTAGGTGTAAAAGCTTTGTACAAACTGGATTTTGTTCCTTTCCTCATCCCATGCTCGGTCTTTATTTTAATTAACTTAAATACTAGGTAAAATTAACTGAAAACCTTTCAATACAAATCTAAAAAGTGGGTTTTGCAGTCACACCGGTACAAATTGACAATTTTCAACTTGCACTTGAGACCGAACGGTTCGTCTGTACAATAACCAAAATAGTGACATTTGTACAGAACTTTAAGTACTTTAATTTCTGTAAACAGACCATTTATTAAAAGTTAACAGTTTTCAAGTTTTAAGCAAAAAACCGGAAAAAAAAGCAAAAAAAAACGATTTCTTCTGGATTTTTAAATGTTGCGTCACGAAATTTTGTCCGCAAACCTCAGATTCAGATTTAGCACCCCAAAACACATATGGAATGAAAAAATCAGAACTTCCCCAAAACTTTCCTACTAGTATCACTTTACAGTACAAATTTACTGAATCATAAACCAATTTTTAAAAAAATCGTGCAAGAAGTTTCCGATATATAGATAGAGTATTTTATATATTAATAGGTATGCTTATACCGTGAAAATATCTTGTGATATTGAAACGAAAATACCAAATACAATATATTAAATTACCAAAATTTTCTTCAATATAAAGTTCGTTTGTTGCTTAAAAAGTAGTTTGATGATCGTAAATAAATTATTGTGATAATTTCAATTGTATTAGTGCTACATACGATATCCGCCAACAGAACAGACAGGTGGTGTAAGCTTGTCACGAGCCTAGACATGCAGACGAAGCAGCAGACGCGCTTGGATATTAATTTGGAATCTTGGCAACAATCCCGCCAATCTGACAAAAGTTACACCCAATCAGATAGCCCATCGTCTGCTGACAAATAGCAAGACGACATCAATGAAGAACAAAATAAAAGTACAACGAAATATCGACGAAGAAGAGGATGTTCTAGGTACTTCCTTTTGCCTGGAGGAGATCAGAGGTGCGATCCACCAAATCAAAGATAATAAAGCGGCTGGCCTAGACGATATACGAATAAAACAAATAAAGCACCTTGGACCAATAACCCTAGAGTGGCTCGTAAAAATGATGAACTGTTGCGTCCGTACATTTCAAATCCCCAAAATCTGGAAGAAAACTAGAGTGGTCCTCTTTAAACCAGAAAAGTATCCGACGGATACAAAGAGTTTTAGACCTGTCTCTCTTTTGTGTCAACTTTTCAAGGCGTTCGAAAGAATGATACTTAACCAACATATTGAATATGGGTTTGAACGGACAGAAATAACTGGA